ATTCAAAGCAACATGGCGTTCGACGCGACCGGGACAAATTCGCGGGACGCTCCGTCGTTATTGCACCGCGCGCCGCGCATTCTGGATAATTAAATTTAATTAAGATCCCGATCGCTCGGCCAAACGAAATCATTTCCGTTGGACGCGACATCACTACGCCGTCGTGTCCGTCTAAATCTCATCTGAATCCGAAAAGCTCCGCGGAAGATAGTACTAAGATAGGGAGAAACGTTCCAACTAAAATTATAGCTTCAAACATATTTTGTAATTGTTCTAACACGAAAGTGACAATAAAAACATGTGTATAAGATTATTATCATTGAGATTATAATAGAATTTAATAAAAAAAATAATTTTAATTTATAATTATTATTACAATTATATCAGTAATTATTTCTCAATGTGATTATAGTTGCAGATACCAACCATTTTTTCTCAGTGTGAGAGGAAAAATGATCGATATAACTAAAATTATAGTTACTATTAGTCACTAACCATATTTCTGGTAGTAAAGAGACAACAGTAACATGCATATATAGTTATTATCACTAACATCACAGTAGAATTTAATTAAAAAAATAGTTTTCTTTACCATAATTTATAATCATAATTATTCCTTATGCGACTATAGCTGTAGATAAGAAATATTTTTGTTCTCAACATAACGTCATTGTCGTAGCGTCGTCGTCGCCGTCATGCTTGCTCGTTGAGCTGGGTTCGAGTGAATTGTTTCGCTGATGAACCGTGCAAAACGCCAGCGGGTTTTTCGCGAGGACGATTTAACGAGCGCCGGTAGAAAGAGCCAATTCGCTCACAGCGGTCGGTCTGTCAGCGTTTTATTTACACAAATGGTACGTACAGCTTTCTTTTCACTCGCCGGCGGAGAACGAAGGCTCTTTCGAAAACAAGTCTCCTAGTCTCATTACCGTGCGCAGCAGTTTACCGGGCCGGTTGCGCGCGTAACTTCTCCCGTTATGCTCTCAACGGGACCCTCCTGGTGTCAGTTCGGTAACGAGATAAAGGCAAACATTTAGCCAACTTCTTTCCGTTTCTGAATGCCGTCGTTGCGTGTGTCGCTGACAAGAGCGAGCCGCACGGAAATAATCGCTCGCGATAACGCTGCGAGACTGAAACTGCGAAATTTCGTCCCTCGTCATCGGACGCACGATTCTCTCGGGATAATTCTTCAATATAAGATGACCAGATTTCCTAAGTTTAAATCAGGGATACTTCATAAATGTGCGAGGGAAATGGAGCGAGGGTAGAAGGGAGACAGACATCATTGAAAATTTATACACAAACATGAAAAATGTTTAATTTATAGACATATGAAAAAATGACTTAACAACAATGAAAACTTGCTGCACAGAGTAAAAATAGAAACTGCTAAGATTGCTAAGATAAAACATTTGTTACCCTTGTTTAAAATGAAAAAGAAGAAACAGGACAAATCCAGGACAAAGGAGTAAAAAATCGAGTCTGTCTCAAGAAAAACATCTGGTCATCTCATTAAATGCGACGTGCCGTGCACGAATGCCAAGCTACTGTATTTATCAAAGCTTTTTTTAATTTTCTTGAATTTTTTAAAATTTTATTGAGAATGTTTTTCTTTTTTCTTTGTCAGAAAGATTTTAAAAATCCTCTAAACCTAGACAAAGAAAGACAGTTTTGTTGAATCTGGGAAAAATCGGCGTTCCGGATAACGTTCGGAAAAATCCAGGATAAAGGAGTAAAAAATCGAGTCTGTCTCGGGAAAAACATCTGGTCATCTCATTAAATGCGACGTGCCGTGCACGAATGCCAAGCTACTGTATTTATCAAAGCTTTTTTTAATTTTCTTGAATTTTTTAAAATTTTATTGAGAATGTTTTTCTTTTTTCTTTGTCAGAAAGATTTTAAAAATCCTCTAAACCTAGACAAAGAAAGACAGTTTTGTTGAATCTGGGAAAAATCGGCGTTCCGGATAACGTTCGGAAAAATCCAGGATAAAGGAGTAAAAAATCGAGTCTGTCTCGGGAAAAACATCTGGTCATCTCATTAAATGCGACGTGCCGTGCACGAATGCCAAGCTACTGATACGGTGACAGTCGCATTCACGTTTCCTCTCTATTCCGGGATCGTCTTGTGCGCGGAAAATTGCGGAGAGCGGCTGCGAGAACGATATCACGAGGCTAAATCGGCTCACGACGTTCTGTGGAATGGATCTGTGGAGGAGGAGCACGCGAATCTCGCTTTACGATCGCCAACTTTATCCCGTAGCGCTGTTATAGCGTCTCGTGTGCAGCAGGATGATTCTGCTCGCGCGCCTCACTAATTAACGACGTCGTTTCGACGCGTGCTTTTTCATGATGCCTCCGAGAGGACGCTGAATGTTTCGCGGCACGACGCTGAGGAAACGGAACGGCATTCATCCGCGCCTGATGCAGCGCTCGTGTTTTCCTCGTGCGAAACTCGCGAAGAGAAGATTATCGCGAGCCGAGAGTTCCGTCGAGGATAATTTCGCGCGTAACTGGCGACGCGCCTCGGCGCACCTCCGAGCGCGAATTTCATTCGAATCGACGCTATCCGGCAAATATTGCGTGCTCTCGTCGCGTCGCAACGCCGGAAATAGGAGACAAGCGGATTTTGGCGATCAACGTGCGACTCATCTCCTTCCTCGATGAAATTTATTCGTGGTCCTGATTAGGCACTCCAAAACGTCTTTTTTTGAAGAAATTTTACTCGATACTCCATGGCATATGTAATGTGAGTTTTATTATAGGTATTAAATAAAATTTTCCTCAAAAAGATTTTAGAATGCCACCCTAGTAGATTCTCTTCCCTTGTCCCCTGCCCCTCTCCACACACACACATAGATACACAGAAAAATACATACTGCATCCGAGCAAGCGTTACTTTCTTCATGTGTTTCATAAAGTTGTATATCTGTGAATCTATCTACCATAAGTTTATCGCGAGCGTTAAATTTCAAGAGCATTCGAGCATTCAAGATAATACATTCTGAATCCTAGTAAGTTTAGCATTTCAATCAATAATATGAAATTCAAACAATTTACCCTTGCCTGTTACGTAGAATCGGGCCGGCTTGAATACAGTTCTATAATATTCTCGTAAAGAGAATATAACTTCCTCTCTTGAGTACATGATAATGAGCTTTCCAGAAGTTTGTGTGATGAGTATATTTGATGACTATTATCAAGGAAATATTCTTCGCTGAAGATAACCTTTAGTTCAAAGAAGATAGGGAGGTAGACTGAATAATCGCCTCTTTCTCAGCAGTAGAACAATATTTCCCGCTGCGCAATCAGTTACTCGGCAATAGTTACTTGTATAAGATGATGTTGTCGGGTCCTGATTATTAATAAGATCCTAGTAATCCTTGTGATCAATAAAGTTCCGATTGCCATGCTGCGTTGACATAACTGATCAGGAGCCAACATTATCTTGTACAAAGCGGATAGCTGATCAGGGTCAGGACTTTCGTGGGATGAAATTCTAGTCAGGTTCTTCGACGACGAAATCGTTCGCCGTTACTTCCGACCTCGCAAGAAAATTAACCGGGAATTCTTGCCGCCTTGAGAACGCCGCGATCGTTACGGAAACTTCGTTGTTTTAAAGTTTACGCAATAACTGCCACGCAACTTTTAAAACACGGTTTAAAATTACTTATTTACCAAATCACAGATAATTTAAAAGAGAAGAAAGATAAAGATAGATAGAGGGGGAGGGAAGGGAGAAACAGAGAGGGAGGGAGACAGCACACAGCTTTGCCGAGCTGTGCTCTGGTTGTTGCAATTAAGTGTTTCTCGGTGGCTCCCAGTGCTCCAAGATGGAAGGAAAACCGTGTGACGAACATTAATGTAATTGATACGTTGCTCGAAGTAATTAGGGGATTGCATTGAATCGTTTCATGAAACCTCTCTACTTAATTTGCACCAAATATGAAAGTGCACAGCTGAATGTAAATGCATGGACTAATAGCTTGGAATTAGATATCATACGTAGATATATGATATTTTTCAAACGTCCATTCACAATGTGTATGTGTCCTAGTTTCAAAAATAATTCCCTAATTATTCCGGGCAATGTTTTAGATTATTTCAATCCAGGCAACCTGCTCTCTCTCTCTCTCTCTTTCTCTCTCTCTCTCTCTCTTTCTCTTTCTGTCTCTCGTGGAAAAAACGCGGATGATACTTTTTATATCTTATATAACATAAAAATATCGCTGGCAGACTAATTATATCTATTTCTGTGTAAGATACTAAAAATAGCGCGCAGAATCCCGAACAATTTAAAATTGATCTGAAAAGTTCGCCTTGAATTCAACTCGGAAAGAGAGTGCAGGCTGCCTGCGAGAGAGACATTTTTGCAAGGCGTGCTCTCGCATCGCGCTCGCGCGATTCCGTTATCGCATTACTTCGGGAAATGTATCTTAATAAAGAGACAAGCAATAAAGAGACACCGTCCGCTCGGGACGCAATTAAATAGGAATCTGAGGCTCATGCGTAATTATGTTCGACAGAAGAAGGCTATTAGGAATCGTTGTTCTTCCGATCTCTTTTTTTACGAAGAAAGCAATGTTATAACTTAATAATATCCTGCAAGGAAAGTGCCGCGTAAGCCCTTTCATAAGGACCAAAATGCCCAACCGTAGGACTCCGGAGCAAAAGAAAAACGAAAGGAAATGAGGAGCGCCATTATATCTAATGAAGTCTCACCCACGCGCACGGTCGTACATGCCCGTGGCTAATTATCGTGGGTGTCCATGAGATCGGGCGAATGCTGTCTTCGAAGAGGCGAACTCGAGAGGAGAACACCTCGCGCGACGGAAATCCGCGCGCAAACTTCGCGATTAAACGAGCGGGCGAAGGGGTGTTCACAGCAAAATCGCGACACGACGATGCGAGAGCGCGCGATCGCAGGCCGAGGAGTCCGAGAGAGAAAGCGAAAGCCTCTCCTCCTTCTCCTGCCGGTCCGACCAAATAACAAAAAGCGCTCACCGCGAAAACTCGAGGAATCTCGCTCTGTGACAAAGCCTTCCGGTCTCGCACTTGCACCGCACGTACACTCGCTGCGGGAACTCACTGAGGGAAGCACTACTGAAGAGGCACTGCGGGCCGGCTGCGCACCCACGTCAGTTAGCCTCGCGTTTCCTTCCGCATTCTCCGCTTCGCCGGCGGGAGAGAACTCACCGAAGTAATCGCAAGCCGGAAGCGGAAGAAGCCGCTTGACAACGAGCGGACTTGTATCGTACAACGCGGCGGTGCAGCGCGATGCGAATTTGCCCGCAAGAGTTCTTACTGACAAATTCGCGATAGAGGTATGACTTCCGGTGAATCGCGGAAAAGACGCGGGGGTGCACGCGGAAGCGGAGGGTGACGGGGGACGGGGGATGGGGGGTAGGAGCGGGGACGGGGACGACGGTGAACGAGACGTGAACAGCAGCTCAGGGCGACTCAGGTACAGGGGGACAACTAGGACGAAGGTACCACGATACGACACCGAGCACCAGAGGCAGCGACGCGGGGTCGCGTGTGAACCGCGCGAGGTCGCGTGTGCTGTCGGACTGAGAGAGCGCCGGCGAGCTGCCCCCTTGCGAACCCAGGCGAGGAGCAGTGCGTCGTCGTGCTCACCCGCTGCCGCGAGCATGCTCTCTGAGCGTGTGTGTGCGACCATCGCGTCTCGTCCTCCGCGTTTCCCTCTCGGCTGTCACTCTTACGGCCGTCTCTCGTTCGCGTCTTTCGACCGCGAGCGGTGTCTGCTCTCTCCGCAGCTGTTGGCGCATCCAACGGAGCATCGCGTCTCGTCGACCAATCATCAGGGAAATGGCTGGATAAATAGGCAGACAGCTAGAGAGATAGATAGGTGGCTAGATATGGGGCAAGAGAACGGAGACGCAGAGCTCGGTACCAGGATATTAGGTCGTTCGGATTTCAAATCGAAACGCGACAGGAGCGGCGAGGAAGTACGTCAAGGGGAGAGAGAGCGGTTGATGTCTCGAATTACCACGATTAACTCTCGAATCGAAATATCGCGCCGTGCAGGCCCATGTAAGAGCTCTTCAACCGCGAAGTAGATTACCGCACGGAGAAAACTGTTATAGTTTCTGCAACCGCATTCTCTATAGTTTGAGATGAAATTTATATGAAATCACGTTAAGTACATTATGAACTGCATACCTATCTATACAACTTTGACAGTCACGATTCTTATGGTGCGTAATAAAGAATAAGTAATAGTAAAGAATAAGTTCGGCCCCTCACAGATGCACAAACTTAAATCAGAAAAATCAATAACAGCCTACATAAGATCGATTATGGAACACACTGTATCCACAAATGAACCAAGAAATAGAGCATTGAACGGCCCGGAAAATTCACGAATGATTCATTTGAATCCACTTGAGACTATTTGTTGATTTTTCGGAGTATTTAGTGCCCTATTTCTTAATTCATTTGCGGAGTGTGTTTTGCAATCGACATCTTGTGTGAGCTCTTATTGGCTCTTCTGATCTAAGTTTGATGATATTTAATGTTCAATTAGTGTATCCCCTCATATATAGTTGCCCGAACGGAAAGAATATTGCCGTCTCTCTATCGTATCTGTCTATAGTTTGCAGAACGAATGGTTGAGAGATCCACATAAAGAAAAATAGTGCATATAACCAGAAATATTTAGTTGCGAAATATTTAGCAGTATAGTTGCATAATCAAGATAACAAAAAGGAAACCAATATTACTTTCGGAGTACTATAATATTTCTGCAATCTTTTTGTATGCATGAGGGAAAAATGAATGATATTTTATTGGAGCAACCATATTTTACCGAGTGATATCTCCAACGTTTTCTCTGCGCGTAAATACACGTTACTGTAAATTGATTAATGGAGTTTCGCGACTCGCGTACTTGAAAGAACGGCAAAAATGTGCGAGTAAATATCCGGCAAAGATATCCAATTGAATATCTCTTTGGTCTTTTAAGCTAGTTTAAGAGTTTAAGAGTTCAGCAAATTTTATTATGGTGAAGTGCTCGAGTATTTTAGAGATGAGCGCCTTGCCGTTATTGCGCAGCAGCGAAAAGAAGAGGGTAGAGTCCGGACGGAAATTTATCAGTGAAACATTAAATCGTTTTAATGTCAAAAGCGTAACGTAATCACGTCGGACGGGAGCTTGCACTGAGAAAAAAAATGTCTCATATTTTCGACTATAATAAAAAGTAGAAAAATGATCACTACGAATTATGGTCAAGAAAACAATCTTTTTATCGAATTCCATTATAATAATAATAATCTTATATGCATATTACTACTACCATTTTTGTGTTAGAACAGACAGAAGATATAGTTGGGGCCATAAATAAGTGTAATATCAGTTAGATCAACCATTGCTACCTCTCTCTCAATGTGGATAACGCTGCTGTTGGACAGGGCACAGCCGATACTGCGCTCTGAAAGCCCCGCTGCGCTTAAGCGAAATTTCATACTACGATAATATTGAATTATTCGAGCGGTGAGCCTCGCGATCGAGTTACGGCGAGGGAGCAAGCTGCTGTTCGACAAACGGCATCGATGAGACGTTAAATAATTTCGCTCACGTCAGAATACCCAACCGTATCAGAGTCAGAAATTCGGGGAATACGCTGTGTCTTTTGGCCAGGGGCTACACACTTGACGAGTTGAGTCCCAATCGCTACGGTCGAATGATATTTGATAACATGAAAAAATTGAATTACAGTCCGCGGACGGATCCTGGATCAGGACGATGCATTACTCACTGAGATACGAGAGAAGAGAGAAGAAGATAGAGATAAAGATAGATAGATAGATAGATAGAGAGAGAGAGAGAGAGAGAGAGAGAGAGAGAGAGAGAGAGAGAGAGAGAGGGAGAGAGGGATGGAGAGGGAGAGAGAGAAAGAGAGAGAGAGAGAGGGAGAGAGGGATGGAGAGGGAGAGAGAGAGAGAGAGAGAGGGGGGGGGAGAGGGAAAGAGGCAGAGAAAGGCCAACCCTCGGCCAAGCAGTGGAGACGAGTTAGCGCGAGATGTGTTTCTCTCCAGGGAGCCGAGGGTTTCCCACCCACGCCGACGCGTTTTACAACTTCTTCTATGTCGAGATGGAGCAAACTCCGCTTATCCGACGTAGCGTGGAGCAGACATAAAGCGGTATCTCGTCGCGTCCACTCTCTAATCTCAGTGCGAGAACGAGTCTCGTAATAGCGAAGGAGGTCCGTCATTTCGCGACCAAGTCGGCCACGAGAGGGCCAACGAGGAACGGTACCAGCCGGATCGCCATTTCAACCGCGACAGTGAAACGTACATCCAAGTGTGTTATTTTCGAACGCATAAGCGTGCAATTTGACTCGAGCTCTCTTTTCATACGTTTCTTATCGTCTCAAATCACGCCGTTTGATACACATTTAGGAGATCTGTAAATTATAATTTTGTACGTTTAAACGTGCTAAAAGATACGATTTGGAACGGCAAGAAACGTGTGAAAAGCCTAAACAATACACTTGAGATTGCAGTGTGCTAAACCAGCGCGATACGATGATCGCGATAGCTTTCATTAAGCTTGTTGAGCGAATGATGCATAACGTAGAAACGTGAGCAGTAAGCAAATTGAGGAATCACAGTCGATTATTCTCTTTGTAGGCCAAGAACAATCGACTGTCGTCGAATTTTTTACTTTGCTTATTTCTTGGATTTGGACCGCGTCTTCCTTTTGTCCCGACGTTTCGCAAACATTTCAATTTACTCCTTCAGGGCGACCTGAAACTGTCGTCGAATTTGTTTATTGCTTACGTCTTTGCATGTGCCACGGGCCTTACACTGCAAAATTCCTCCGACAAGATTAAATATCGTAACGTGCGCACGCTTCATAATTCATCTCATTCTTCGCATTCTGCCAACGCGTTCCGCAAAGCCCACCGCGAGAATAAATATCTGTCTGAGCGAAACAATTTCCGACCGACCGACCAACCGCGTGCATCCCGACTGACAGTGGCGTCTAGGCTGAACATGTAAACGCCGTTGATCCTTTCGTTCGCGACGTTCGCAGATTTGTTCGCGGTTTATCGCGAAAACGTGTACATACTCTTAGAGAGGAAAGTTGTCCCCAAATTTTGTGACTGAATTTCGAGTGAATTCTCTTCGTCTCGTCCAACGGGAGAATTCCGTTTCTCAATGAAAGATTTCTTTAATTGGACAACACGGAGAGTTTACAAAAAACTTACTCCAAGAAAGAATTACGTATAATCTTCCTGTCCACAAATGTACACTAATAAATAACTACAGCCTGATACGAGAAACAGAAGCGCGATGGTTGATCGGCGATTATGACACATCGTGATAATTCGACAATTAGAACGGAATACATGAAACTGCATATTGATTTCGCGTCCTATTTGCGCGGATTGCCTCTGCGAAACCGAAACCGTTCATATTGATAAATACGTAACTCAATCTCATTGAGTTTGTCTCTTTCTCTTATATTTTTATTCATATTGATAAATACGTAATCTCAATCTCTTTCTTTGTCTCTTTCTCTCATATTTTTGTTTTGATCCTGCTACAATTATTTTCTCATTATTTTTAATTAATTTTTATATCTTGTTCTCAACATCATACTTCTAATTAAGTTTTTTATCGCCTATTCAATGTGTGCTTAAATTTTTTTTTATTATTTCGTGTATGAGATTAATTTATTACAGTTTGGAAAACGAAACTTAAGAACAATAATGATCGCAAAGTTGTCGATGCAATTGCGTTTTTTTATTTTATTTGGAAGCAATGACGATCGTCGTTCATCGAAAGAAGATTCACTTTTATGAGATTAAGGGACTCGAATCGCCGTGGCAAGACGATGAATTATAGTCCGCGCGCTATTTAACCACGCACGAATTGGCGGCGAGTGCAAACTTGACTTTAATGTAAGCAGAACGTGTCGAAGACAGACAGAGACAGAGAGAGAGAGAGAGAGAGAGAGAGAGAGAAATATCCGGAGGACGCGATACACGTAAACCAGAATTTCTCTATTTCGCCGGTATGCTTCGATGCGCATGCAAACTAGAGACGGCTTAATTCGAGGAGGAGACGAGCTCGCGAATGATCGGGAGCGAGAAATCGGCAAAGTGCACTCGGAGCGTTCTCTCGACAAGTACACCAATTCCCGAGCTCGAGCGCAATCGACAATATTTCGCGGAATTTACAGCGGCTTGTCTACCGAGTCGATGAGAGAAAAATTCTCCAGGAATTTCCCGACTTTCACGGATAAGAAAGTTCCCAGGAAGTTCCACGTTTCCGCGCGATTTTTCAGAATACAGGCATCCTTCGTATCGTAATCGTTAATCGATAATTCAACACGAGTAGCTATTTCGTTAATAGTGAATACCTGTCCTAATTGTCGCGTCTTATCGACACCATCTCGAAGTTTCCGCGTTCCTCAAATGAAAGAACCATTCGATCAGACGAATTCGCTTTCCTCGAGCGGCGCGATCTTGCCGGCTTTTCGGATCGCGTAGTAATATAATCTTCGCGGGGAGCGAAGATTGGGTGTCGGCCAGAAGTAATTCGATAGTCGCACAGCTTTATGCACGATTGGTGGCGAAGTTTTTGGCACCACCTGACAACAAATACACCTGTGCGTATCCCGCCCTCACGGATGAGAGCAGCGGCGATCGATTCGGCAACGACGCTACATACGTACGTACGTCAGCGCGCTTGGCATGCAGGAAATTCCGGTGACGCTGATTATTAATCACTGATGTGGAATAATTTTGAGCATTGCCAATTTATGCGAGTTTCGGGTGATTACGAGTGCAGGCTTTGTATGGCGAGATGCGCGACATCGCTGGATGACGTTATGTGCAGATATTAACGATGGCGCCGGTGACGCAAATGAAATAATCCATTTCTGTATCTTAGCTCAACATCTCTCACATAAACCGACGTCACAGAGCGCAAGAGCTGCCCGCGGGCAGAACGGGGGGCGTCACGTGTGTTGTGCGTGATTACACGTATTTTTTTACCTCTTTTACCGATATGTGAAAACACAGCATTGTGCAAGATGATAAACTGTGATATTACGTTACCCGAAGCGATTCGCTTCATTATCCAGTGTACATTTCAATTATCACATTATTATTTGTTTATTGTTTTAAACGGAGTAGACAGAACGCAAAGAGAATGTTTCTTTTCATATAAACTCTTGTCAATGTTACCATGTGTTTCTGGGAGTGTGCAGGGATAGACCATCAAAAAGGTCTGTCTCGTTAAGAAACGTAGTAAATTACGCTACATACTGAACAAACCAGACAAAATCGTTCGGCTACTCTCATGAGATGTCATGTACACGTTAAATATCAACGATTCTATATCTCGGTAACAGAGCCTCTGTATCGCACCGTTACTATTGCATCAGTCCAGAAATCAGAGCGGTACTCAGAATCACGCATCAATAAATAATAACTCAACAATAAATCAAGGGGGAAGGAAAGGGAGCGAGAGAATGGAGCTTTCCCTGCATTTTCCCCGCGCTAAATTCAACGCAATTCCTGCGGGGGTCATATGAAACCGCATTTTATCGCGACTTTTAATTCGCGCGTCGTGATAGTCTCCTTCGATTTAACAGCACTTTGCGTCCGTGTGCGAAATTTATGCCGTGCAACGTGAACGATAAATTTGCGAGGCAGAGCGCCGCGCTGGGATAACGCTGAGTATCTTGTAAACCTCCCGAGCATTACGTAACGAATGCCATGCAACGCATAATGAGCGTGCGCGTGCGCGCATTTCTCGTCCTCTTTTGTCTTAATCCTTTAAATGAACCGTTTGAACGCGCAACTCGCCGGCTAATTCGCGAAAAGTGTTCACGTTAATCAGCACGAAGCCTGATTGAACAAATCCCTCAAGTGGGTGCCGCAAATTCGCCAACTATGATGGGTTTCCCCAAGAGGGACGGACTAATCGGAACAACGAATCGACGAAAACGCATTCGAGGGAGATTTACGCTGTAAATCAGCACAAATTTCCTCGTAGTTTTATTTGCTTTGCGTTGCACGTGCAACTAACACGCATGAAGTTTTTACTGGGGTCTTCCCCGAATGGGAACAAAATCATCTCGAGACAAAACAGGAAGTTTTTGATCCGCGATAATCCCTCGTAAACAGCGGAGCGAATTGCTGCGCGATCATGAGACTCGGAATACGACTTAAAATCTCCCTTTACGAGTTTACATGTTCGAGTCGGTATTGGATAAAACTTATTTAGGAAAATGTTTGTTTGCAAATCGAAAATTCCGCTTTGAATATATTAATTCTACTCATCGTTTATATATTGTTGATGTAGAAACAACGGTGAATTAAAAAATTTCCGCAAATTCCAAATCGTCTCGAGAAAGAGGGTTTGAAGCAATACATTTCTCTTCCCAAATGAAGGTAACAGCGGCTTGTTTATCGCGTAAACTTATTAGTGCGTGAGGGTATGTCACCTGTAATGCGCGAATCTGTAGCGTGGGATCTATTTTATCGACCTTTCGTCGGGAGAAAAATTGCAATTGGTAACGGTGATATCGATCCACTCGTTAGATACAACACACGAGAGAGCGAGCTGCGTGAATCCAGCCAGCATCGCGAGAGATGGCGGTACTATTGGACGTTTTATCAGCAGATGTACACGGTTTACCGACGGTTTGCAGGTGCGACAATTTTCCCAATTGATTGCCCGACCGCTCGGTACAATCGTGTAATTACTGTGACGTCCAAGAGACGTTTAAAAAAAGTAAGACGTCTGTAAGACATACATGTTGTGTGGATGAGAA